AACAACCAGTTCTTAAGAAGCAGGATTAGGACTCTTGTGAAAACTGTTCATAGGAAAATACAAGCCTTATTGTCACTAAATTCTATTCTGCTTTTTACAGTTAACAATCATCATATTGAGTCAAGGTGCCCTCTTTATGTGTCACTGAAGGAGAACAAATAATTCTATAGCAGAATGGAGTTAATTGAAAATGTGACTACACAATTCAGCTTTTCTTTGGCAGGTGTTCAAGATATGCACTTCTGTTTTACACTAGGAAACCACAGACACTACTGCCTGTTCTTAAGTATTCATTTATTTTTATTTTACAGTGGTTAAAAAAAAATAATAGGAAAGAGTTATAGCCCCCATGGAGTCTCATGGCTCTGCTGTTCACTTACAATGTTGTGTATGACAGAAAAATGAAGCAGGTATATGCTACTAGTCACTGCCCTAAGAAACTGCTTTGCATTGTGCTCTCGTTAAGTGTGTTGGAGTAGCTGAACTACCTTTAGCTACAGATAAACCACACTGTCCACAACATCCCAAAATAATGTCTCCTAGTATAAAAAAGAATTTTTTTTAGATTGTTAAAATATAAAAATCTGAAACTTCTTAAGGGTACTACTTCTTCCTACTATTTCTCAGCAGATATCTACAAACAGATAACAAAACAGTGAGAAGGTATCAGCATGATAGGTAATGATTGCTGCACGCTGGCAGCATAATGATTGTTAAGGTTTTGGTTGGTATGGAGTAAAGGAGTCTTTTGGGAAGAAAGACAGGCAAGGTGGTTCTGCTGCCAATTCCTGGAATGGGACTTTGAAAAAGATACCAAATGACTGCATATCAGTTACATACCAGGAAAAGCTTAATATAAAAACTGAGTGGTTGTCTCATGTGTCTCTAAGTGTCTCAAGCATTCTGACAAAAGAAGAACATTTTATTAGTGATTATAAGAAGAAAGCATCTGTTGAATTTGGAGAAGAGAGAAGCAGAACTCATAGGTCATGGTTAATATATAATCAGAATGATCAGCCAGTGGATATTAGGGGATGCCTAACAGATTGGTTTGGGCTTGAAATGAATTTAAGACAGCAATGTGATGGTTTGGATTTTAATGGACAGAAAGGTTTTTTTGGAAGAGAGAGGGAAAGAATGCATGTTACTAAGAGAGTCAGTTATCTTTCAGTTTGCAGATGAGATCACTGATACGACAGAAGAAAAAGAGAGAACAACAGAGGACAGCAGATAAATCTAAAGAATACTTCGATTATAGATGATCTGTAGTCTAGGCTGCATTCTTTAGGGTAGGTGTATAAAACTATTTATCTCTTGTTCTCAGAATCAGAGATGACTACCAATTGGTACATTAATATAGATCAAGGATCTGTAGTAATATTACATGAATACTCACTAAGGACCAGTTATTTTGTGTGAGCTCAGCATTATACCACAACCTTAAGAGCTCTAGCAACTATAACTAAAGAGAACAGTGACAAATGGCACTGGGTAAACTCGTTCCCTTGGAAGTTATTCATCAGCTTAGGTTTGGGAAGGCTACTGTGATCCCGAGTAGCAGAAGAATTTGAAAGAAATGCCATCACATGTAACCAGTATTTCAAAGATCTGCTCAGAAGGTGCCTGAGGTGCCTAAATTTATATAGAGAAATAGATATTCTCCTTCATGGTGTAATATCATCAGGCACTGTGTTATAAATCATAAAAAAAAAACAAAGTAAGGGTAAGAGATGTAAATACTTTTTGATGATGTTTGGCCAATAATATAATTTATAAAGAAAACCGTTTATTGTTTACTAATAACTCTTAACTGAAGACTATATAACTTGTGCATTCTTCAATAACTTTGACTCTTAATTGAAAATTTAGAAAGGAAAAGTATTTAACCTTTAAGTGAACTAATTACTAAGAGAAGCAAGATGAAAACAGTAGTAACCAGGCATATGTCAAAACAGCTTATACACAGCAAACAGTAGATGTCAAAGGCATCTAAAGTCTGCAGAGTTGAGTCAAATGTCTGATTCTCCCAATCTTGAGTATTAGATGGTAAATTCTAAAATTGCATATTAGTAATTATACAAAAGCTTTTAACTCATTTTCCATTCTGATATGCATACAGCACTTTGGGGGATTACTGCGGTTTTGGAGCTAAGGACTAGAACTATAGACTGGAAGAGGTAAATGAGATGCAGGAGGAATCAGTTCAGTGCTGAGGAGGATGCAGCCTTCTGCCCCCTCCCTCCACTTGTCACTCTACCAGAAATCTCTCTCACACCTTTTGTCTTCCCATCATTTGACTTTCACTTTAGACTAGGAATGATGTTTTTAATTTCTGTAGCACACACAAAGTAGACACTGCTGCTCACCTGGCTAATGCTCTGAGTCAATTATAAGTCGTCTTCTTCATAAATGCTCCCATATTAGCTTTCTTAAACTTACTAAGTCTTTCAGGCTTTATACAAGCAATTTTTTTAGTAACTAACGTCCTGTCAAAGCAATGATTTTGTTTACAAATAACTATGCATATAATACTGTTGTTGAAAGTTTATGTAGTTCTTAAAGTATTATGGAGAAAAGAGATGCATATTACATTTTGTAGAAATGCCTAAATTTGTTTTAATTTCTTGTACAAAAGTAGCCAAAATATAATTTCTTTTCCATCTTTGATAGCTGGGGAAATGAAACAAACAAACGAAAAAATAGCTCCCCATTTGTTTGGGTTTCAATTAAACAAAATAAGGAGAAGGAAAAGAAAAACTGACTAAATTTGATCTTTATTACTGAAACAGTAATAATGATTATACCTAAACTTACCAAGACAAGGAATAAAATGAACTTAATATCCAATATGTTCAATGTAAAAATGGCCTTAAAGCTTTAAGTTACTGGAGCTACTTAAGATCACTTAGAAAGTGCTGAAAGCACAGTATCACCATGTGTGTGCATCTAACAGACCATAACTGCAATTTATGAAATGAAAAACTACAGCTTATAAGGTGTCCTGGTTCCGTGTATAAAGGGGTTCAGGGGAGGACTCACACGGAACAGAACTAGGTAGTCGCCTCTCCCCCCCTGAGAGAGAGAGAGAGACACTTTGGAAAAAAAATGAAGTATATTGTTTAACAAGGAACAGAAAACGAAAAAGGGAGGTAAGGAAAATAATATATACAAAGATTAGGGGAAAAATACAAAAAATAAAATATACAAAACCCTCAGAAATGGTTCCAGGGTCCCACGGAGTGAAAGGACAACTTCCCTCTCTGAGCTCCAAGGCAGGAGTGAAATTAGAAACCACTCCCTGCCTCTTATCAGAGTGTGTGTGGGAAGGGGAGGGAATACAATAGTTCACCCCCATGCGGGGTCCTCCCAGTTGCTGGAAGGTCATGCCCTCATTCCAAGCCTCAAACCACAACATAAGGCTATATTAATATATTACCTTTTTTTTTCATTTAACATTTAGGTGGTAATCATGCAATATGGTCGTATGATGGCCTTGTTCATAAATATTTTAAGTAAATATGGCACAACTGAGATAAAAACCAGGGTGTAGGTGGAGGCGTCTCATTTTAAACCTTGAAAGAGAAGTCTTGGCTTCTGTCTGGCTTAATATTAAGACTTCAGAAGGATTAAATAGACATCTACCAATTGGATAGTTCCATAGACATGGTACTGATTGGTACCCTTGGATTTTCAGATCCAAGATTTACTTGGAGTTAAGATTTCGATTTTGTTATTAGAATTTCATCATATTATATCCACTAGGATGGATTTTTTCCCCCCCCTTTTTGTTAAACCATAACAGGATTCATCACTATAATTATGGAATCAAGAGTTATGGTCACTGCTTTAGAATTAAACAACTTGCTTTGTTTTCCAATAATACCAGGGATTCAGTGTTTCTGTGCAGAATATCTTCTTTAAAATCACAAGAAAAAAAATCCATGGCCATAATAGAAGGCACTTTCTGAGAATTTATAAATTGATCTTTCCTGTTCATTTATGAATTTAAATGAAGATAAACAGATTTTGCATTTAACTGGTCATCAGTTACCAAGTTCTTCATTTGTCTTGTATGATATTTGTACAGGACACTCATTAAACTTTCTGCATGATTAAAACTCATGAACATTTTCTTATATATAAACGACATTTGATTTTTAAAGGCATTTTTTTCTTGCCATTAGTCATTCTATTTCCTCTTTCTTAGATCCTAATGTTCTGCTAGAGAAAATAACAGCCAACTCGGGTCTCTTTCAAAATGACTGATGATTCCCATTTGTGTGAATGGAACAGAGGCACTTTGTTCTTATCAAAATGGGAACTGCCTCTGCTATGCTCTAGTTGAAGGAATCCTGTAGTATTTATAAAGTGTGGCCATGGCAGTCATGCTGAAAGAGGACAAGTCCTCATGAGTTTCTCATAAACAATGAATTTGTGAAACAATCCTTGAAAGCAAGTAAGCATTAAGTTATAGAAAATAATGACAATTTTTCCAGCTAGTTTTTTTTATCTTATAAGACCTAGTTATCCAACATGACAGATAGCAAATACCACCATGACAAAACAACAAAACCATATACTTTAAATTGTTTACATTCTACTCTACAAGTTCAGACACAAACATGTACTCATTGTACTTACCAGAGTGCAATAAAAACCAGAATAAATTTTCAATACTTTTATCAGATATTCTCCTATCATATTTTGCTTTCTTTACTGTTAACTCTGTATCTCCTGGGTTAAGTGAGCGTGCTGATATTTACACATTCTCATTGTGGTTTTTTATCCATGTTAGCAATACAAATTCTCAATGTAGATTTGACTCAATTTTAATTGCAGAAGTTATAAAACTATCTATATGAGTTTTTTAAAAAAATATAAATGACTATGATACAAAGATATCAGTTTCTCATTTTGAAAGATAATTCCTGATTTGGGGACTCATATAATGGATAAACCAATTATTTTATAATCTGAAATACTGACATACTGGCACATACCTTGACTTTTTCTAAGTGATCCTGCAGAGAGTCAATTAGCAGATCCCCCACTGGCTGCCAGGATCCCTTGAACACTTCAGCCTGGCGTAGTTTCAGGTCCAGTTCATCCATTGCCTCTTGAAGGCCTTGCAGTCTTTCAAGAGCATCGTCTATCTTCTTTTGCCAGTCAGCAGACTGTAGATTCAGCTTATCCCACTCATTTCTGACCTCATCTGCTTGCCTTTGGAGAATTTTAGCAACATTGTGGGCCCTTTCCTCAGGTGACAGCTCTAAATGTGGAAGTCAAGAGACTTTTAAGACATACTCTGTCTTAGAAGAAAAATAATTGCTACCTGCCTAAGTTCAAAGCTCAGGAAGAAACTATCCATTACCAAAGACACCTGCAAAATTTATTTGCTTAATGTATTCCTATTTGAAAATCACTTAACAAATTATAATGTTGCCACCATACAGATCATCAAAATATGCATTTAAGTATTACATAAAGACATATTTAAACATGCAAGATGTGGGTAAAAGTTTATCACCTGTGTCTTGGTTCAGGAAAATAGTTTGCAAATACATAGATATTAATCACTGTGAAATTTTTACTGCAAGTGAGTGGATTTGGGAGCTTCTGTAGTACTGAGGCTACAGGTCAGATTTTAGGTTAAATTGCAGCTTTCAGATGTCAAATGGGCCTATAGTTATAGATAGGTACTAAAGGTTTAAAGCCAGTTTCAAAATCTGCTTATAAATATTCATGTCTATTTAGTACCACAGTATTCAGAAGGATTGCCAAGGGTTTCTTTCATCTATATTTTTAGCTTAGTTTCTGAATACTGACATTCAGCTTGGAGTGTAAAAGGAATGCTTTCACAGCAGTTGGCAGAATTTATTTAATTATTACTGATCATCACTGATCTTTCCAGCAATATGGTATTACCCTGCTCTTTTTTCAATTACCTCTTGGTTCCGGGTAGAGCTTTTCCAGCCCTTCCACAGGCTGCTCTGCCAAGAAGATTCGCACAGTCTCAAGTGCACTCCTGATAACAGGTTCTTTTGTTTTCAGCTCCCTCTTGAAAGTCTGAGAGATGAAACAAAATTATTGTAAGTGGATATATAATGAAATACCGAGTACTAGTTCTTGTTTTTGACAAAATGTCCAACAACAGCTTCCACGTGTGTATTACAAGTAGCTACCAACCAACCAACCAAAAAATAAAAGAGATAATCAGCTCTTGCTTAACGTGAAATCACATTGTATTCAAAGGAGCAAGTGCACTGCCAGCATGCTGCAAAGTACCCGAGGTAACAGATCAAATTTTCACTCTGAGAGGGATCCCTTTTGTTGATTAGCATCATGGCCAACTCAAAAACTGAGCTGCAAGGGGCAGGGCTTTGGCTGGCTCTGTATTGGGCCACACCAGCATAGCTAGAGGCTCTTGAAAGCAAAATTTACCAGAATGCAAAGGAAAATCCAATACGTCTCCCAGCTACCACTTTGTTACTGCTGCTGGCAAGTATTATAAAAAGGACCTATGTATATTGACATGTTAGCCTGTAACAAAACAGTCATGTGGATGCATTTCTTCCTAAATTACATGAAATGACATTTCTGAAATGTAGAATCAAGGCCTAGGTGAAAAATCAGAAATACAATCTAGCCTAAGTGTAGTCATCCATGAGTAAAAATTAAAGGTCAGAAAGTAGTTATTGTGAAACGGTTAATTCTTAGCTGCTTTAATCAGTATTTATTATCAATTTCGACGTCTTCACCTTTAATATTGCTCGTGGTGCATTCTGTTCCCTTTCAGATAGATCATACTTCTACCTTTCCTCTCTTCCTTTTCTGTCATGCCTTTTGGCACCTGCCTGATGGACTATTTCTCTTCTATTCCCTGCTTTTGAAATGACCATGAGTAAGATTCTCAAGGTTGGTATTTGAAGTTTTGGTAGACTACTGAAAGTATACAAATCTCAAGATGTTTGTTTTTTGGTTGTTTGTGTTTTTTTTTTTTTTTTTTTTTTTTTTTTTTTTTTTTTTTTTTTTTTTTTTTGGTTGGTATTTGAAGTTTTGGTAGACTACTGAAAGTATACAAATCTCAAGATGTTTGTTTTTTGGTTGTTTGTGTTTTTTTTTTTTTTTTTTTTTTTGTTGTTCGTTTGTTTGTTTTTTGTTTGTTTGTTTGTTTGTTTGTTTGTTTCTGGTTAAAGAGAATTTATAATTCCACTAATTTAAACCCAAATGTCAACTGCACAAAAAAGCAGATGAAACCTGGCCTATGGGTTGCATATTGCATTTGGTCTTTTGCATTTTGTATTGAATTTCTGTAAGTGGTCCTTACTTATGTTTTATTTCAACATTTTCTTTGTTTGTAAAACATTATTCAATGCATACTGTTTTCAAGTAGCATAGAGGTAAAATATGCAGATAATTACAGGGCAGTGTAATACAAAACACAGTACTGTAAAAACGACAACCATATGCCCTGAGTAGAAAACAGATATTTCACTCCAGGAGTTAGAAAATTATTTTTACAAAACAAGCATTATATAGGCTTCTAACATAATAAACCCACCAATTCAGTTAAATTAATTATTAAACAAAATTTGTATTTCTATGCAAACTAATGAAAGAATATAAATTCAGTATTAGAAAGTTCATTACATTGTTAATTATATTTGATACTAAATGGCCTGTACAGGAAATACCTAACAAAACCTAAAAAAAATGAGAATCACACCTACAGTTTAGAATATGAGCATACACAGATAAAAAATTATTACTACGTTTCAGGAAAGTAAACTTAAAGAAATGACTACACTACTATACTATTTATTAAGTGGTCCAGAACTGACCATAAGGTTTGTAACTGTGAATCATTAAAGCCTTTCACCAAATTGTGCTTTCTTGAAGGAAACAATAAAATAAAAAAATGTTCATTTTTTGTCATAGACACCAATAAGTCTGGGATCCTTTCATAGAATGTATCTACTATCATAAGGGGATCTATTCTTTGATTAATAGCTGTGATAAATATTTTAATCAATCATGTTGACCCTTAAAAGCCAGCACTCATTTTCACAAACAGAGAGTACAGTATATTAAGAAGTAAACCACCATTCGACACTGCTCTGTAAAAAAAATAAGTGGGGTTATTTGGGGGTTAAAACACTTTAACTTAGACATGTTTAGGTTTAGAAATTTCTGTTAATTCATACTTTACTTTTGCATGAAGTGCAGTGGAAAGAGGAACTATAGTAAACTTTTTCATGCCTCCAAGCGAGGAAAATCTATTCTTTTAATTAGCCCTTATGCTCACCTCGCATTACAGCATTCTGTCTCATTTGAATGTAGCAGGTCTGCAACTAGTAAGACAGCAGGTAACATAACTTAAAATGTTCCCCCACAGACTGTGTGCTTTTTTCTCATCCGATAGTGTTAGAAGTGACATCAACAGTCATATTGTTTTTTAAACATTACAGTCATGTAAAAGCTTAAGGATATAATATGCTTTATAAGTGTCTCCAGTGACAAATTATTTCTCTGAAATGTCTACGCCCCAAACCATTCAAACCAGAGGTACATGCACAAAGGTGCATTCTGATCACACACCCCAAGAGTTGGGAAGGAGTCACAGATATTCCAGGGAAACATAGAAATATGCCAGCATTTAGGGTAGTTAAATGCCAAGAATGCCTTTGAGCTATGTATTTGGGAATGAGTAAGTTATACTGCTGTATGGAGTGCTGCAATCAGGTCAGCCCCAGCTATGTGCATGTACAAACAATGAGAAGGACACAAAATACCTTCTTCCAGTTTGGACAACTTTTGCGTAAAACCATACCAACCAAATACACCTAGTGGCATTATATTTCCAAAAGAGGTTTGAAGCCACATTCATGCAATATTGCTTGTGCAACACAACAAGGATAACTTAATCAGATGTGCATGCTGCATCCCATAAAGTGTGTGAGCAGGAATCATTGTATCCATCTTCTCAAAACAGTGGAGAAACGCTAATGGGAACTTTCAGACTTTGCATATTTTTATATTTACTCACAAACAGAAAGATTCTCTGTTATTAAAGGAAAACAGTGAGCCAATGTGTTAAATGTTTTCCTTTCCAACTTCTTCATTCTGGATGCTGGAGCTGGTGGATGTGATTATACTCTGTAAATCCTGATATTTAGAAAAGTACACAGTAAGCTGTTAAGATCTATTCACAAGTCTCATTGCCTTCCATAGTTTTGACCTGTAGATTTCTACTAGTGAGTTAAAATATTTTTCAGTATTAGAAATTTTAAAAGGAGGGAAGGAAAAAGCCATGGGATTGAAGCAGTAGCACAGAACAGCATTAAAAATAACGAATGCTTATTTCATATTACCCCATCCCAAGAAATGTTCTTACTGTATGAAGATAACAAGAAATATTCTTACTGTATGAAGATAAAGCCAGATTTTCTGGTTAAAGTTCTGTTGTAAAATATGCACACACTACCAATAAATGTCACAAGTAGCAATAAATTACATTGCTTTTTTTTTTTTTTAAAAAAAATAAATATCTATCTAGAGCCCTGACAAATGTATCTTCATAAGAAGCAGACTGTTACTGAAAGCAGAATTAGCCTAAATTAACGTCTAATTTACAGCTAAGGATTTTGAGCTAATTTAATTGAATTTTTTAACTTCTTCCACACTTTGTAGTGACTGTATCGGAAATCGACCATGCACAATATATGACCTGACAAAAAACGAGTAAACTACTTTATTTAAGCATCTCTATTTGTCAGCAACACTACAGCAGTAATGGCATTCTGTCCACCATTTTCATAATGTATATATTGATCAGCTTATCTCAGAACTCTACTACATCCTCATGGGTGTCCTGAAATCTCTTTAGATGGAGAAACACAGATTGTTTAAATTGAAAGATGAAAATATGAGAAGATATTTGCATTAGTAAAACTATCATTAATCTATTATTAGAAAAGCACATATTTTTGCTTTTAATGAATTTTAAAGAGAAAGAATATAATTAAATTCAAGGGGTTTTCCAACCAGAATGCTTGTTTAAAATGGGTTTTGACTGCAATTTTAAAAAGTAGATCTCAATTCTGCCATCAGAAAAGGTTAATGTGTTGAAGCAGAAATTAGACTCCTTCTTAAGCACTGTTGCAATAGATTTCATATGAATGGGTTTCCAGGGAATTTTTAATAATTACCTTCTATATTCATAAATGCTATTTATTGTTATTACAATTGCTACACAGATGATGTGGCACTTCTTAAAAGAATGAAAGAAAAAGCAGGTTATCTGCATGATGCCCAAGTTCTTTAACGAGCTTTACCTGTAACATGTACACAATTGTTAATATAATTTTAATAAAACATGATACTAAGGCAAAGAAAACTTTTAAGATAATGTATTTTTTACTATTGACTACCCCTCACACACACATTTGAAGACTTTGGCATAGAAATAATTTCTTCAGATGACAGAAATCGACAAAATGACCCACTGCATATATAAGTTCAAACACATAGCAGCTATGTGGGTGTATTTGGGATAAATTCCTCACATTTCAAAAGCACCTCATATTTCAAATGCAACAATGATTTTGACTGCATAGGTATCTCGTTTCTCAGTTGAGTTCAAGCTTTCCTCTGGCATAGATTCAAGTATTTGAAATTTTCATCTGAATCCTACTCTAATTCCTATAGTCAATCTTGGCAAGTAGGAGCATTCTAATGATGAAAACTAACTTCTTTTCATCTCTGGTATGAACGTCTGAGGTATTCCAGTTGGTCTTCTAAACTATAGAGAGGTTAAATATGTTTGTTTTTCTTTAAATTACATTCTTAAGGGAAAAAAAAAAAAACAATCCCAAAACAAGTAAACAAAATAATCAGCTCATGACACTGCTTTAGAGAAGGGATTCAGGCATAAAATCACATTTGCATTCGTCATGCCATTTCTCAATGGCAATCAGTTAAATTGCTTATAAATAATGTTCCACTGCTGAAGCTTTTTCTTTTCACAAGTGAAGAACGTACCTGAGTTCACTTCTAGCTTTACGTGCCAAAACAACTCCTCACAGAAGGAAAGACAATGTACTGACAGAGGGAGACTAAAGACAGAAGGTTGTGTCATTTAAAAGATTGATCAGATCAGCTAGAGACTGGTTTACTGAAGACTGGTTTTCAGAAGTAACATTCAGGAGAACAAATTGAACAACCAACAGATTCTTTTTCTTAGGATCAAAATTCAACTACTCTTTACTTTACATTCAGCACCCTGAGAGCTAAGTTTTGTTCTGATCAGTGACCCAAAACTTAAAAAAACCCAGCTTTCCAGTACCATGCTCCAGTTTTAAGCTAGATACTTCTACATTTGTGGTGCAAGCCTTTTTAATTAAAAGTATTTACCTTACGTTCAGAAATGAGCTAAGCTGCTCATTTGAATACAGCCTCTGTATGTCTGCTTCTCTAAAAGAAATTTCTAGAGTAACAGAAAGTCCGTAGTGTTCAGGGGAAAAAAAATACAGTAGAAAAACTCCAAGATGTTAATATAGGTTTCATCCAAGAAAACCTGAAGTCAACAGAGTTCTGCACTGATTGTTTTTCCCTCCTTCCCTTTGAAGAGCAGACAGGGTAGCTTAATATCAAGGATTATGATTTGTTCTTTTTCCACAGGGAATCAGAATATCCACAACTAGAAGGGCCTTACATTAAATTATAGGAGTGCTACAGAATGGGAAAAAGAGAGAAGGAGTATTTCTAAAAGGAACCAACATTTTCTAGCTTTAATACTAGACAAGATGACCAAAGATTTGTGTCTGTATGTGTCTGCATGTGGCAGACAAGATAATCAAAAAGGAGAAGAGAGAAGGAGATCTATTTTGTAAAGTCACTTTGCGTTTATTCATGGTACCTTACTTTTATGCAACACCCCTCATCCCTGAAAAGTTTTAAACACTTCAGTTGATTGGTGAGTGACAGAGAGATCACTTAGTCCATCACTGAAGTCTTGACACCTTTATAATGAATTCTGTGAAACTTTCAAATAGTTTATAGAACAATACAGAATCACAGAATGTCAGGGGTTGGAAGGGACCTCCAGAGATCATCGAGTCCAACCGCCCTACCAGAGCAGGACCATCTAATCTAGGTCAGGTCACACAGGAACACATCCAGATGGGTCTTAAAAGTCTCCAAGGAAGGAGACTCCACAACCTCCCTGGAGAGCCTGTTCCAGTGCTCTGGAACCTTTACAGTAAAGAAGTTCTTCCTCATGTTGAGGTGGAACTTCCTGTGCTCCAGCTTGTGATCATTGCCCCGTGTCCTGTCGCAGGGCATAAGTGAGAAGAGGTTGCCCCTTCCTTCCTGATACCTAGCCTGCCTATATTTATACATGTCAATTAGATCACCCCTAAGTCTTCTCTTCTCCAGACTAAAAAGCCCCAGGTCTCTCAGCCTCTCTTCATAGGGCAGGCGTTCCAGTTCCTCAGTCATGCTTATAGCCCTCTGCTGGACTCTCTCCAGTAGATCTCTGTCCCTCTTGAAATGGGGAGCCCAGAACTGGACACAACACTCCAGGTGAGGTCTCACCAGGGCAGAGCAGAGGAGGAGGAGGACCTCCCTTGTTTTGCTGTGTACACTTTTCTTAATGCACCCCAGGATCCCATTGGCCCTCCTGGCCACAAGGGCACACTGCTGTCCCATGGACAACTTGTTGTCCACCAGGACTCCAAGGCCCCTCTCCACAGAGCTGCTCTCTAGCAGATGCCTCCTAACCTGTACTGATGCATTTTATTCCTCCTGCCCAGGTGCAGGACTCTGTACTTCTTGTTGAACCTCATGAGGTTCCTCTTGGCCCAGCTCTCCAGTCTGTCCAAATCTTGCTGAATGGCTGCACAGCCTTCCGGAGTATCAGCCAAAACTGCCAGTCTTGTGTCTTCAGCAAATTTGCTGAGAAGACACTCTACACCATCCTCCAGGTTATTAATGAAAATGTTGAACAGGACTGGACCCAGCACTGATCCCTGGGGGACTCCACTAGTTACAGGTCTCCAGCTGGATTTGGACTTGTTTTAATACATGGTATTAAAATTTTAGGAGAAGTAATTTCTCTAGATTAAAAAAAAAAAAAAAATTACTTTGATCTAGGAGGAAAGGTAATGCTTTCAAATACTCAATATTATTCAGATGACAAAAACTTAGTTATAAAAATTCTACACAAATCCTTTTCTATGTCTTTCTTAGGCTCACAATTTTTCTTTCGTTTGAGCTAATATCATTCTGAGTTAAAAATCTGTATTGTTTTCCATCCTGGTGTTCTGGATGGGCTTTAAAAGTATTTTGTGGAAGCTGGTACAGACAACTGGCTAGAAGAGACCTCAGGCATTTCATATGTCTTAATTTTCACAGAAGGAAAGGTAAAAAGGGATGGTGGTGCTCCATAAAGTCATGGAAGTTTTTGCCTTGTTTTTTCTGTGATAATGCTTAAAGTCCTAAGTAAAATTTTGTGAGAAAGACACATCCTACACATCACCCCGCCAGAAGGAAGTCCTAGGAAATGTGAACAAGCTGCACTCTGCTTTTCTAAGATAAAATAATGATTTGCTGCATTGTGCACTGACAATGGGATGATTTTTGTTACCTTCCTCTTTGACTTTCTCAGCCATTAGATACAAGTATGCCCTTGAGAGACAATATTGCAATTACCTCCCATAAATCTGTAGACAAATGCCTGTTTACCTATCTCAAAAGCCAAGACTTTTCACAGACTTTTCACAAACTCAGGGTTCCAAATAACTTAAAACAGCAAGATATATTATATTCTCTTTCCAAACTTGATGTTGTTCACTATTTGTTCTCAAATGCATCCTTCAGCATGAGGTAGTACAATCTATTAGAAAAATCTTTATAATACAGCTTCCTGAATGAATAGAGAAAACACAGGTATTCCAGATCCAATTTCATTTTACAGCACCATTTCATATTTTTCCATTAAGAATTAAAAACACAGATTTAGAAACCTGAAAAATAATACTTTTTTTTTTTTTTTTTTTTTTGTGGCAAGTTTCACAAACTGAAAGTCACCTACATGCAGCAATATAGTTTGAAAAGTTGTTTACTGGTTTTGGAATGTTTTCATTTCATGGTATGAAGTTGTGTGATTGACAACTTAAATTATTCAATAGAAAATTCATTCATTTGAAGTAGCTTTTTAGATGTCACACTGAAGTATACTTTGTCACTAAACAGGAGGAAAAATCCTCCCATAATTCGTTATTTTAACTAAAGACATGTGTGGATGAAGGAGAGGAGAGATAGAATACTAGATCCAAACAAATTCCAAGAAATGAAATAGTGAATAGTGGAGAAATACAGTATAAACACGTGCTTCATTCCAGTTACTACGTACATTTCCCTTTTAAACATGAGAGGACAATTTCTTTATACCAGTAAGGTTCCTTGCCCCTGACCTTATACTGTTGTCTGTAAAAAAAACAACCAACCTGACACTGTATTCCCATCTTCCTACTGAATCACGATCTGTCCTAGTGGTTCAAGGTCTGGTTTCTGTTGTGGACATCTGTTATTAATTGGTGTTTCCCAGATTAAAAGTTTCATTGGAAACTAACACAAAAGAAACGTCTTGTCATAAGGACTAGACAGGCTTTTATGGAATTCATGAGTGATAGGAGTAACTGAAGTTGAGTGTGCTATCTCAGTTACTTTTCACGTGTCCCCTGTTCCTTACCTTACCAGAACAGCAGTTTCTCCCCATTTACTGCTTCATTCAGAAATTCTCCAGCTTTACGTTAGCAGGACGCTAGTTTCCTAATGGGTTTCCTTATGATATCACTAAGAAATCACCATTGACCTACTAGAACTGTTATTTTACATTCAGACTTGAATAAACTTCAATGGTATAACAGCTATTACTATATACTATAAGAGCTATTTACCTGAAAGCAGGCATTAGGCTACCATCAGACAGGTGTGAATTTGATTCAACACAGGAAACGGAAGAATTATTGAACAGTACTGTGTTGGTTTGGGGGTTGTTCATTTGGCGATTTTTAAAACCAAACCAAACAAACCCAACCAACTTCCATGAGAAAAGTGTTTGATTTAGGTTCCTTTTTACTACAAAGCTTAGTGTAGAACAGTCCCCATATGACACTCTGCTATTGCCTTTCCATAAGAATTTCCTGATGAAACTAGATGGTTACAGTCAGTTATCACAATAGTTTCATGATGTACACTGTTCTGCATTATCTACTCATAACAGCTACTTTTTTTCACAGATATTCCCAAAAATCAGCAGCAAAATAGTGGTTTGAAACATACACATGAAGTTTAAATTCCTGATCTAGAAAAATTTTCAGAAGTACTTATTTAAACATCATATAATATTAAGTTAGTATTTGTTCTGGCCATGAAAACTAGCTGTCTGTGATAGGTCTATGAAAATGCTACAGTGCTTTTCAAAAAAGCCCAGCAGCTGGTAATAAACACTCCCTTCTTCCAAAGGCTGCCTTTTTCTAAGCTGTATTTAAAAACTATAGCTAGCACTCTCATGCAAGATGTTCAGTTTTCATTGTCTCTAAAACGTATTTTAAATGATATCTTACTTTTTACAACAAGGACTGTTTCATGCAGCACTAATCTCCAAAGGAAAAAGCAATGACTGAAAGAACATTAAAAAAAATAAATCATACCCTATGATTATCATTCTGTTTCTGCACAGTGGGAAGATCTCCACCAGTGGGTGCTTGCTGTTTTAATTCATCCTCCTTCAATTGCAGCCATGCCAAAAGTTCCTGAAGAGAGAGATGTAAACGCTTCCACTGGTCTGTACTGGCTTCCAAATGGGATCTGAAAGCATGTGTTAAATATAAGACATATTCAGGCACAGGGAAAATAAAAAAAAAACAAATTGTACAAGCTTATCTTACAGGAGAAAGATCCTAGTGTTTGTCATTGAATTAATGATTTTAAAATAGCTTCAGTAGCTTTGAATTTGATGCTGGCAACACAGATTTAAATTTTATTTCACAGCCCTGGCATGAAACATCCTTTCACATCGCTTATTTTGGGTGTTGAATTGTCAGTCTCACTAAATATTCTCAAATATTATGCAGGACTACCATGAGAGTAACATAGTCCTCACTTAGGATTACTAGGAGATTAATCAACTAAAATGCAGGTAGTAGTTTTGAACTCAGAGAAGAGCAAGCATTTCTCTAAACCACCACACAAACTATTCAAACTCACACAAGATTCATGTAGTTGTTCACCTTTAAGATAAGACAACCAATGCCATCCTTTCCCAAAAAAGTAATGAGGAAACTGTTAAAGCTAATAGAATCCCTGACACTACCCAAATGTCTGTGCCATTTGAATAGAGAAGTGAATGAAATTAATTGAATCACTAGAAAAATCAGCAGAGAGAATACTACTTTGTGCAGACAAGGTCTAACATAAGTATATCACCCAAATATTTTGTTTGCATATGTGTAAATGTATTTTTTTGATACCTGGATCAAATATTAAGCTACTAATTTTCAGCAACTGTTTTCTGTGTAGAGAAAATATGTGTCTGAAACATCACTGGACAGATCATAGATAGGCAAAATAAAATTCTACCATCGATAGGCACACTAAAATTTGGTCTTTTGAGACTTATGAATAGGCTATTTTTTAATTGCTGTTTGGGAAGAAATTCCTAATTTGTTTTCTGGTAATACAAAAATTACTCTTAGTAATTCAAAGCAAAAGCAGTATTACATAACAGTAATGTGACAAAATGGACTGAGAAATAAAGACAGCTTTTCTTCTACTTCATATAGTTCCTATTTAACTTCCAACCTTGCATAACATTTATCTTTTTCAGTGATGGCACATAAGATCATGTATTTTCTGTCAGTGCAAACCCTACTCCTATACCTCATATAGAACGTTTGTCCTGGTTTTTGGTTAAACTGTGTGGTGCTTAGTTGCTGACTGAGATTAAACCATGACAATGGTCTATAAGGAAATGTGATCAATAAGGACTCAGTATTTTGCAGACCTTATTATTAGTTTGGATATGGAAATGAGAAATTGCTGAAGGTAGAGACAGTTGTGTTTCTTTGAAATGCTCTATGGATCCTATCATCTTTCCAGCCTCTTACACTAGGTAATTGCAGTGGCAAGGAAAGAGACAGGAAGGTGGCAGACCAGCCCTAGGCTTACAGAAAGCTCACTTGCTCTGGTATTTGAGCAGACAGAAATTTTTCTCCTTTTTCAAAGTTAAAGGCTATGTGGGATGGACACAGATAGACCATGCTGCCTTTTGATCAGGGCAGCTGTGGGCTGGGTCAGAAGTGCCTCCGAGCAGGTGCTGCTGGGGGTGAGGCAGCCCTGCAGGCAGTGAAGGTGGGGGAAGCCCCAGGGTGCTTCCCAAGAGAGCTAAGGGGGGACAGAAGCAGCGGTGTTGAATGGGGAGTTGCAGGAGGTGACAGCCAGAGCAAGGGCCGAAGTGCTTTTGGGAGGGACACAGTCAAGGAGCCAATTCTCTTAGTCAGGTTAACTCCTCGCTTCCATGTTTATCTCAGCAAATGCAAGCTTCCACCTCCTCCAAAGAAGGGCAGCAATCAGGAGCAAATGCTAGGGTCTTCACTTATTCCCTGCTTCCTCAGGTCTGGCTTTACAGGGAAAATGCATAAGCAGTGATCCCAAACATTTTTGTTACTGGTGCTGTGCTGTGACCTCCCCCAGTCTGGTGCACGTTTTCCAGAACCCATCTTGTCCTGCCCCTTCCTTAGCTTTGGGAATATATGTTTATATAAGTACATGCTAGTGTGCATTATATACATACTTTCATACTTATAACTGTGTTAAGCCTGTGCAGATGAGGCAGATATTGGGAAAACAATTTTTAAAAACATTTATAAGAAAGAAAGTGTTTATTAGAACAAACTGTGCTGACTTATCAGAAGGAAAGAAAGATAATAATGGAAATGCACTTAGCTTTTCTTGATATCTACTGTATGTTTATCTAACGGATTTAGAAAAGAATGCCCACCTCAGCTGAGAGATGGCATGGGTCTTTTGTTTCAGTAGCCTAAATCTTACGGTAAATAAAGAGACTTGTATGACTAACACCTGGGGAACGTTTCATATATCTGGTCTTCTACCTCTTTTGTGCTAGTTATGAAGAAACCCACTCCATGCTGTGTGATGGAGAGAAATAGCTCCAAGCAGGCAGACTGAGAATAGCCTGTGCATTCAATCTGGTGGCCAGCCACATTCAAGCTGAATGTCACGTTAAGTTAAGAATTGTTTCTTATCCTAATCAATAGGTTGTTGAACACCTTAAGCCTTTTATTGGAAGCAAATATTTTAGAGAAGAGGTCTGTTGCTTTGAAAGTTTAATGCAAGAAGTAACAGTGATAATAACTTGGGCTACTATTTCTGTACTCACTTAATGGCAGCGCTACATTAAACTGTAAAAATGAAAGACAGAAAGTTCTATATACTCAGTTACCGATATTTCGCCAGCTGACCTTATCTCAAACATTGCTGCACTTGGGTAAGTTCATGGGCAAAAGGCATGTGAAGAAAAAAATCTCAGAGACCTTGAAGGGTTAGATTCTTATTTTGCTCCTCAGGAAAAAAAAAATAATAAAAAAAAAACAACCAGGAGGAATATGTCTCTCTTTAGATACTCGTACCTTTTCAACCTCACATCCCTCATTTATTTTTAATGATTGATGTTACAAAGATGGCTTTTATCATTACACAGACTGACCTCCCTCAGGGCTTGAGATGAAAAAAAGCTAATATTTCATACATTACTTTGAAAAACACTTCAGCCTTTTGCTGCCCTCTGAACTACCACCAACATACACCAAGTGAGCAACTGAAAAAAATCCAAGACTGAAAGCAAGAGAACTGGGTTGCCTATTGTAAATGTTGTATTTCTGAAGAGAAGGTTCCTGGACAATTTCTTTTGAAAATAAATTTTCAGCACATTGAAGCCTCTACCTCCACTTCATAATTTGTAACATTATAATTTATTATATTTTTCCTTGGAAGCAGAAGTTTTCCCTCTAATGAAAGGAGGTTTTTTATTTTTATTTTTAAACTCGAAACAGCAGACTTAAAAATAAAGCTTATCATAAATATAGGTTGTTTAATCACTTTCTTTCATGACTCATTGGTAAGTCATATCCAGCTCTAGAAAGAGGCTACATATGGAGAGGGTACAGTTACTGGTTAAACGTGCTAATCTCTCTTCCCGTAATTACAAAACCCTGTCATATGCCTTAAATCCTAATCCTCTACTATTATTTTCACACAAAAAAAAGTAATCATTCTTACAAAGTTAAGCCAATATTCAAAGAAGCACAAATCATTTCAAAATGGACAAAAATAGTGCTATCAGAAAAAAATTAAAACCAAAATTAAACCTTTTTAACTAGCAAAATGCAGCAACCTATCTTACACACCAGCTTAGGCTTTCATTTACGTTCAACTCCTACCTAACATTTAGAGATTTCTTCCTAAGCTCACTCCATCTGAGGTTCATGTTATCCAGACGTCTCTGCAACAGCGCTGCATCCTCAGAGCCTTCCAGGGACCTCAGGATTTTCTGCCCATTTTCATCCAGGCTGTGAAAGATGTCAGTATGAGCATCGATTTCTGCCTGTAGTTCCTATGGAAGCAATAGAAAACAATACATATGGATTTCTTACAAAATCATAGAAACTACCACTTCCCAAAAGAGTGGAAAAATCCTCAGTGCAACACAGAATTAGCACAGATTTTGGTTACTTCTTTTAAGGCAATGTTGTGTACTGCATACACAGACATGCTTTCCTTTCATAAGAAGGCCATTTGCACTGAATAATGACCTTTATTTCCATAAAGAGCATAGTAAACAAAAGTTAAAAGTCTAGGCTTTGACAGGCAGCAAAGCAAGGGCAATATATATTTACTGTGTCAATGAGGAGGAAAAAAACCACAAAATCCTCGGGATCTCAGGTAAATCTGACCTTCACATGATACGTCTTCCTGTGCAACATTTTCAGTTTGAGCTGGGGACTGCAACACCGGTCCTGCTGCATGGCAATTCCAAGAAATCTATGTGCCCGCAGCAGCCAAGCTTTAAAATGCCAAATTCACTTACATTCTGTTGACAAAACGCATTTTGGAGCACAGGCCTCAGCAGTCAATAGCAATAAACAGCCACTTTGTGCTATATCAAAACACTGGTCAGGGCCATGGCTGTGGGAGGGCCTGAGAATAGCAAGGACATAGAATATGCAACTGGCAGCTCATGTCAAACAGCCAACTTTTCTTATCACTTGGTAACTGCAGGCCAGCTCTACATTTTGAATTCATTTCCCCCCCTCATTTTTAGCACAGCTCTTTCTGCCAGAAGAACATTCTTCAGAGATCTGCCTGGTACCAGCATTCTTGCCTGCCCACACATTCAATGCAGCCTTTGTACGCTGGCTGCCCTTCTCCAAGAAGTTTGCTTGCTGCAGCTCCACAAGGTCAGATTCGTTCACAGGGAACAATGATTGAATCAAGCTCTTTAAAATAAAATAAAAATAATAAAAAAAAAATTAAACACATACACACATGAACACACACGTACTCAATCTGAGGCCACATATGCATAAAAGTACTTTAACTTTCAAACAAAGAAGCACACAAAAACACAAAGAAGATGACCTAGTGAATAAAGCTCTGCATATCCTCCTGGGATGCATGGGTACTAAGAGTCCTGGTGGTTGTTTCTTGCTGTTTGAAATAGGAGTGCTGAAGATGAAGTGTGAAAGGGGAAATGATTTATGGCATTTAAGAGCAAGAAGCAGCACTAACTGAGCATCACAGATAGTCCCCAATGGAAATTCATTGTAATTTTCTTTAGAAGAATGACTTTGAGGAAGAGGAGCACACAACTTACTTACGTGGTGTGTTCCTAATTGAATTGGTTTTATTTGATATTTTAAGTGCAACGTTCGCTGCACTGAATCATGAGTAGATTGTCCTTGTTCACCTACTGCTGTTCCAAATGTCATTTGCTGTCCTTTGCTGGATATCTATTTCTTTCACAGCAATGACTAGCACTGTGTTTGGAACAATTTTAAGGAGGGCTACGAATGTCTTTTGGTAGAGTATTGAAGTTCTTATCCAACCATTTTACTTTATCTATGGTCACCCCACCATTAAAGTAGTTAGCAATAAGTTTGGAATACATCCAAGATTGTTCTGCAGAATGCAACTGTACTATAAATGTTGAGCTTATTTATGGATGTTAAATATACAATTTAGATTTTTAAAAATGCCATTATTATGGTACATAACCATATACAATATTATGGGTATGGATGTCTTTACTTGAAAATTTGTACTTTATTTCAGTTCTGATGTTGCTAGTTTCTGCTTCCAGATGTAATATTTTGTTTGCTTGACTGAAGAACAGTCTGCTATCACATTTCTTTCTCTTCATGTATGCATTTAGAGATTTTATTTAATCTAGGCTGAGTACCACAAATCTGATGTAAAATGCTAAAACAATATGTAAGAAAGGATAAAATTCATAGTAAAATGTTAACTTTTAATGTCTGTTCAGTCTTGAGGTCATTCCACATTAAAAAAAAAAAATTATTGCCGAATGAATTATCATATGCACTGCCTGTGGCACAAAACTCTTAGCTGTTAGGATGGTGATGGAAACAGCTGTCTTTTCATCAGCAAGAACATGTGCCATGAAACATCTATGTTGAATAACTGTTCACAGGAGGAAGCCATTAAATCTATGCCCTCTTGGTACTTTACCACACATATACTCACAGCACTTTGTAACACATTTTTTAAATAAAAAACGCACTTCAACATTTTTCTTGATTTTAGAAAAAGTGTCTCATAGTATACACATTCCGTGCTTTTCTCCTGACACTTAAATATATTTCTGAAAATAAAATCAAGCCATATCCTTTTTGTTTCAGAAAACTATGTAGGATCACAATAAATCTGGACAGTTAGCTAAATGTGCAACAGACATGAAAAGTGAAGTACTCCTATCTAAAGCTTTCCAAGGTATGCAGGGCCTGGTTTCCCTTATTTCACACTACCTGTGTAGACTGAGTTTATTCTAATGCTCCGAAATGGCAGTTTATTACAGATATGCAGGAAGCCTACAATGACAGAGAAGCAAGAAAACAGTCAAGGTATTTACTCCATTTTGGTTGGTGCATTTCAGATCCTTTCTGTGTGACTCCTTTGCATCCTGGAAAAGCACAGTGCATATGAGATACCTACACCTTTTATTTGTCTTCCAAAATAAGTAATTTCCATGTTTCAAAAATACAAGTGAAAGATCAGTATGAACTAGATGCTTTTTCTTGACAAGAATAAAGCTAGATCTATTTCATCTTACACGCTTCTAAGATATTTGCAAAAGTATGCTGTCATTACACATCATACCAAGAAGCACAGAATACAGACTTAATATAGACTATTGCATTTTCATCTTTTCCAATGTGTTCAAACACACTGCAGAGGACAAGAAATTAATCCTGGTATAAATCTACTGAGTTACAGCCAGACTTAACTCCATATGCTGCATTTTTGCTGCAGTGGTTATTACTGAGGCTGTGTGGAAATCAATTCCCTTAAAAAGAGCAGACAGTAAAATGTAAACCACCTTTTTGATCACAATATACTGCTTAGATTGAGCTGAACTGCTTAGAAAAACTGCAACTCCATCAAGCGGAGACTTGCCTAATAGTTTCAGAGTGAAATCCTGCTTTATTAAGATGAACTATAAAGTTAGATGATAAAAGGTATTGCAATGTGTTTTTAGAAACCTTGTGGAACAGCAATGAAAGGTTTCTGCACACTTAAAAATGTATAGTTACATTATTACACTAAATAGAATAGGCCTAGCACTAAGTCACAGAACTAAGAATGATAAAGAGATGAAAGAAACTTGTCTTCAGGGGACCAGTCTTCTTGGACAAAACAGAGTGAGGAAATCTGCTTTGCCTGTTTCAATTTTGTCCTGAGGCCTTGAAACCTCTATGCATGATTTCAGGGGAGACGTATGCTAAGGCTGTTAGAGAGCAATCTCAATACTGACATAAAGCTAGGATATTGATGTATTTCTCACTTGCCCAAGTGAGTTCTTCCCCTTGGAACTACTGCTACCATTCTCCATAGGAGCACACATCCTCACTGCCCTCATCCTCTTGCTAGGTAAAAGAAATTCTCCTGTGGCTCCACATGTTTTATTTTACACAGAACCCTGTCAAACAGCAGAGCAGTCACTGTGAAGCCTAGTTCACTGAAAGTCCTGTCAGCCACCATACAGCAGAGATAGTTCTACAAGAGTTCAGTATGATTTTAGATACTTTATCGGAAATAATTAATCTGTGCCAATACCCTTCATATCCCACATGCCGTATATAGGCATGACATAAAAAGGACACGACACATCACAAAATCTGCCATTATTTCGGCAACACGTCAGAGAGAAACTGGTAAGCTGGAAGCAAAATGAAGTCCTAGAAAGAAGGAACTGGTTACACTAGTTGGACTATACATGACTCAGACTAAGACATGGGAGTTAAAGCAGCACAGCTGGAAAAACATTTATCTTTTATACAAGGTAGAAACAAAATTAATTATGTAATACTTTAAAGAAATTAAAGCACTTAAAACCTCCTCTACAAACCCAGCTTCATATTCGGAATTGTGCTTTTCATTTCCAGTGAAGCATTTTACATTTTCTAAGTACTATACAGAGTTACTAAGGACATAAATAGCATTAATTGAGGTATGGGAGCTCGTAAAATTAAAGATGGTACTATTTGATTAAAGGAAATCAACACAGAGGAAAAAATTGATCTTTACTGACAGTAATTAAAGAAATAAAGTCAGTCTGTATGATTACTTGCATGTACTCAAAGCATCGGCAAGCAATATCTACGGTTATACATAGCTCAGAAGTGCTATATATTACTGCTTCTGTAATGCTAATAATGAAATAGCTAGTAAAGCTATCATAAAATTACTCAAAACAAAACAAAGATCCTACACATCTATAATCCCTCCCCGTCTGTGTAGTTAGCTGAACTAATCCCCTTCATATTTATATTAGCCGAGCATATTATGTTTGGTTTTTTTTTTTTTTTTTTAAATTAAATAGCTAGTATTAGTAGGTTTTCTTAAACATCTTATACTATACAGAAAGTGTGGATGATATAATCCCCCTTTTATCACTCTTTTCCTACCTTCCATTCTTCTTCTTTCCCCTTTAGCTTTTCTCTTCCTTTCTTCCCTTCCTTGCTTCTTTTCATCCTCCTTCTCTTTTCCTTCCTCTTGCATTCTTTTTTCCTTTGTCTTTTTTTTCCTATTCTTTCCTTGCTTCCTTTCCCTTCTTGTTTTCCTCTTTCTTCCTGTCTCTTTCTATTTTTTCCTTCTTCTTCCTCTTTTTCTTTTTTCTTCTTGTCTTCCTTTTCCTTTCCTGCCTCTTTCTTCTCCTTTTCTCCTTTCCTTTTATCTCGCTTCCCTCCCCTCTTTAAAATACAATCTTCTGTGTCTATAAACCTTATTTTTATGCACTCTTACAATGATATCAAACCTTCTCAAGACTGTGGGTTTCTTTCTGCTTTTATTTTGCTTTTCAGCTAAATACCATTTCAGGTGCCTGGAGAATGGAAAATTTACAGACATGTTTCAAACCAGCAATTTTTATTTTTTTCCTAACAATACTCCTGAACAAAGCACATTTATAAGAATAGGTCTCTGCTCTATGCACTTAAGACTTGGCATAGTCTGTGAATTTTATTTGGATTTAGCTTGTATTACCAAAAAGATTTCCCCCTTCAAAGTTGTGTTTTTTCTTTTTCTTTTTCTTTTTCTTTTTCTTTTTCTTTTTCTTTTTCTTTTTCTTTTTCTTTTTCTAACTTCCTTTTGGGATCTACACATTAAAGAAATAGAGTCACTGTCTGTAGTTTACAGCTGTGTCCAGCACAATTTAGAGACTGCATTTCAAATTAATCATCCTACTTGCTTTTATTTAATTACACCTAAACTACAAATTTCTGATTATGCCTAAAACATTAAACTCTGTGTGAGGGTTTATAGAGTTTGAGACATTTTTTTCAATGCTCCTGCAGACCCCAGCAGCCTTTGGAGGCACAAAGATCCATGAACATGGCACTTCTTTCAGGATGACAGCTTATTCTTCTGACTGCTAGAGAGAGGAATGGTTTTGTGGGTGTTACAGTTCTGTAGATGTTGAATTAATGGCTACAGCACAGCAAGACAAAAGCATTTTAAGCACACAAGTGGTAGATTCAGTGCAAGATGATCTCTTTCTTTTGTTTCTAGCAATAGAAGGTCATATATACGTATAATGTCTCGTTATCATATAGACTACCTTAGCTAACACAAGAAAGCTCTGTCACAATGCACAAAGTAGGAAAGAAGCTCTTGGTGCCTCCATCAGGCTTTTAAATTATTTGTTCTCCCAGTCCATAAGCAAAACTTTTCTTTGGTCTTAGAATGAGAGCATTTACTG